AAAAAAAACAAAAAAAAAAAAAACAAAAAAAAAACCCAGCAACTTTAAGGGGCAAAAACGCAATTTCTCATTATCATGACAATAATAATAAAAATAACAAAATGCTGACTTTGCACACTCAGCTGACAGTAGGGTGGACCCGTAGGTTTGGCCAAGAACGTCAGCAACTTTTTGCAAACACAAGTAGACCTGCCGCTACGCAGCAGTGAAGGACGATGACAAAAGTATTTTGCAAAACACCCCAGACATCGATTGGACCCGTTCTTTGCAATGTACCCGTACCAGACGCAGTCCAACTTTGCAAAATGCCCCTGTAGTTGTCAACTTTTCGTAGGTGCAATTGCAAAAGGCCAAGGTGCAAACGGGGAGGCTGAGATTGCAAATTAGCACACCCGCCCGACAGGGGCATAACAAAAAGATGCCAGCCCAAAAGGTCATTCCACGATGCCCAGATCTTTCAGACACATTTTGACATATATCTCAACTTATGGGGGAATTTGGCAAATTACCACCCCCAAAAAGATGACTCTCTCTCTCTCTCTCTCTCTCTCTCTCTCTCTCTCTCTCTCTCTCTCTCTCTCTCTCTCTCTCTCTGTGTGTGTGTGTGTGGGTGTGGGTGTGTGTGTGTGGGTGTGTGGGTGTGTGTGTGTTACATGCTGCGCCTGAAACGAGGGCCATTTTCAGGCCCTGTGTTGTTTTCAGCCTAAAAGCCTGAAAACAAGGCCTACAGACCCTGTGTCGTTTCAGCCTGAAAGCCTGAAAACAAGGGCCTACAGGCCCTGTGTCATTTCAACCTGAAAGCCTGAAAACAAGGACCTACAGGCCCTGTGAAACGGTTTTCACCTTTTGCAGTAGCAGATGCAGACCCCAGGGCTCGATCCCTAGCCCTTACCCTACCGGTGTACAGTATATGTGTCGACCCAAGGCTTGAACCCACGACCTGTGTATTTGTAACAGTTAATGAACTGTCATAGGGTCCGTAGGTAGCAGGGGTTCGATCTGTAGATCTGTAGAATAGAAGTCTTAGCGAGTTCCAGAAGTCTTAGCTGTAGTCCTTTTAGAAGGTTGAACAAGTGGGCAAGTGGGCAAGTAGTGGACCAACTGCAGTACGTTCGCAGTACGATAGCGGTAGGATAGCAGCGAGTCCCCATCCAGTCAGCGGTAAGGTCCAGTCCAGCAAGTACCAAGAGGGACTGTGAGCACCATGGGCCGATGGAAAAGGGCAGACCAACGAACTTCAGAAGTATAAATCAAGAGGCAGCGCCCAGTCATTCATTCATTCCTGCGTGAGCCATGCTGAAGCGCTGCCACAACGACTTGTGCAAGGAGGTCTGCAGTGAGCCCGGAGCGGAAGTGGGCGAGAGAGAAGGAGCGTAGCATAGCGATAGGGTAGTTGCAGCCATAGCCGCCATAGCTGTAGTGAGTGTTCAGTGTGTGTGTGTGTGAGTGTTCAGAGAGACGTGTGTGGGATATCCAGGATGATCCGGCGTATGCGAACAGAGTGTTGTTTGGGCGTTGAGTCGCCATAGCCATCGAAAGTGAACTTGTATCTGGACTGTGTTTTCGACGACCATATCTCTGAGTTATGTGTGGGCGCTTGTCGCCAATTTGCTGCGCTACTGTTTGCATACATGTAAAGTGTGAATGAGAACGAGTCTGATTGCATTGGTATCAGAGCTGGTACCCGCTATTCCATGCGCGCCGTCATGTGCAGGGCCTGATGCGCCATAGCTGAGGTGGCCGCCAAAAGAAGAAGTCCGCCATAGCGGACGTGGAGGTTGGAGAAGCCGCCGCGCACCTGCAGAGAAGACTGCGACGAAGAAGAAGACTGAGAGAGAGAGAGGAGAGAGAAAGGTCGAGCGATACAAGATTGGGTTACTACGTACCTGCTGTGCTGGAGATACCGCTACGGCGAGAGAGAGAGAGAGAGAGAGAGAGAGAGAGAGAGAGAGAGAGAGAGAGAGAGAGAGAGAGAGAGAGAG